TGACCTTTTCCGCTTGACTCATACATATACTAGATATTGCAAATAAGGGAAACCATGGGACCTATGTTTCTTTGGGCCTGGCTTACTTCACTTAATATAACTTTTTCCAAGTTTTTCCATTTCCTAACAAATGGGGCAATGCCATTCTTTCTGCACATCTCACTTTTTTCTATACTAGTATATAGCCTTAGAAATTCTTAGTTCCTACATTCTTCTAAAGATGTTTGAAATTTTCTTCTTAAAAGTAATTTTATGTCACCAAACCATGTGTGGTTTTATTATGAGCAGAAATAGAGAATATGTCTTTCTCAACAGATTTTTCTATAACACCAAGTTGCCATATTAATACTTCATATAGATCATGAGAACTTAACTATTATTTATAATACAATTTATTTTCTTTTTTTAATTATCTTTAGGTAGTTGTACAAAGGGGTTGCCATTCAACAAAGCATTTTATGAATACCATTCCTCTCTCTCAGTGTCACCCCTTTGATACAATTTTCTAATCAGTGTGCCAGTATTTCTATGATCACTCATTTTGGCTCTGTTCTTCACTAACAGGATAGAAGTGAGGAGTTTTCCAATTCATTTTTCAAAAATGAGTTACTTAAAACAAAATGCCTGTCTTTGAGTTAAACATTAAATCATAAAGTAGTTGATCATTGGAGTAACCCAAAAATAGAACTCTCCATATTGATGTAATTCTCTTAATTCAGTGAGGTTTAGAAACTAGACAACACCATTTATAGACCAAACTAATTTATTTGATGTCTTCAGGAATAGTTAGAGCTAATTTTAAAAATAAATAAGAGTAGTAAGAATTCTTTATTGATTCAGAAAGACAACAGAATGCTTGATAAGGCTTTCATTCTTTTTTTTTTCCTTTTGTCAGTCCTGGAATTTGAACTCTGGGCCTGGGTGCTATCCCTGAGCTATTTCACTCAAGGCTAGTGCTCTATCACTTGGAGCCACAGCTCCACTCTGGCTTTGTCTGTGCTTATTAGAGATAAGAGTCTCACGGACTTTCCTGCCTAGGCTGGCTTTAAGCTATGATCCTCAGATCTCAGCCTCCTGAGTAGCCAGGATTACAGGTGTGAGCTACTGGCACCTGGCTGGCTTTCATATCTTTACTTTGTTGGAGAAAGGGGCGATTGCTATACTTGGAAAATCTTTTTATTTCAATAATGCTTCCAAGTGGAATTGTTTATGTACTTTTAACATTTTGAGTCACCTAGAGAACTTTAATACTATGTTTCTTCTCATCCCCTATACTTCTGTTCAGGTAATTTTCATTTACCTTAATTCTTTGATGTTATCTAAGTGATAAATTTTTTCTAGCACTCCTCTTCTACCTATCCCCAAGGTCCTAGGGATTGAACATAGGGCCTGTGCGTGCTACTCAGGCAAGCATTCTACTATTGAACTACATTTCTAGTCCACATAATGACTTCTAAAATTCTTAAGCACATTGAATATTTCTTATTATCTGATTGTCCCAATACCCAGCTTAGAGCTGTGTTGTAGAAAAAAAACTTAAATTATGCTGAAAATTTTTTCAGTCGTTTGTGCATATATTAAAGATACATTATGAAGTATTCCAGAATTTGGTAAATCCTTGGGATTATGTTAGCTAGCCATCTTTCAGAATATGTAAATTTTTGTAGAAGAAATTTATTCTCTTTATATCCTTAAGTCCTCTATTTCATGTACAGATATTGGTAATAATTGCTTCTTTCTTTGAATAAGAATACATTTGAAAAAAATCTCATTAATAGAAGTGTGGCCCATAGCACCCAAAAGGAGGATTTTGGTTTGGTTTTGTCATGCTGGGGATTAAACTCAGCCCTCACACATGTTAGACAAGCATCATACTGTTGGGCTACATCCACAGCTTCTAAATATATATTACTTAGTGTATATTTTAACATTTTAGCTTCTCCAATAGTGAGTAAGTCTATTTATAGAATTATTTCCCCATTAATCTCTACAGTTCTCCCCTTTGGTTAAATTGTTGGCCTCGTTGGCTTGAAATGTCCTTTTTGTAGGAAATGATGTTTCTTAGTTTCTCTTGTCAGTTCAAATCCCTGTTAAAACTAATTTTCATGAAATTTGAATAGATAAATATCTAGTCATTCCCTTTATTCTAAATTATTCATAATTTAGGAAGCTAATTTATCTCTTTTAACCAAGGCACAATAGTATTGGATGTACCTTTAGAGATTGGGAAAAAGTAAGTATGTGTTATACATATTTGAATAATATAATCAAAAGAAGGAGAGAGTAAAAAGTACATTTAGTGCATTTTGATATTCCCATAATTTTCTTGGTTTGTGTTTTTAATTTTTTTGTTCCTTAAAACATGTTTTATTAGATGTTTTTTTAGATGTTTACAGATTCTTGTTTTATATTATAGGTAATAAAAGAAACTCGTTTAAGACAAATTTACACAGCAGAAGAAAAGTATGTGGTGAAAACTTCTTTTTATTCAAACAAAGTGATTTCTAGTAACACATCCCTTAAAGTTGCCCAGTTCCTCACAGTTACTGTAGATCTAGAGCAAAGAAGACACTTGGAAGAACAACTAAAGGTTAGTCCATTTGATTATTAGAAAAGAATATGAAATGGGGACTGGGAGGATGGCCTAGTGGGAGAGTGCTTGCCTAGCATGCACAAATCCCAGGCCTGGGTTCGATTCCTCAGTACCAGATAAACAGAAAAAGCCAGAAGTGATGATGTGACTCCAGTGGTAGAGTGTTAGCCTTGAACAAAAAGAAGCTCAGGGACAGTGCCTCGGCCCTGAGTTCAAGCCCCAGGACTGGAAAAAAAAAATGTGAAATGGATTTCTGAAGAATGAGTCTCTAGAATTTTTAAAAAATTGTTAACAGGGCTGGAAGGTGGCTCAGTGGTAGAGCACTTGCCTTGCATGCCCGAGGCACTGGGTTCAATTCCTCAGCACCACATAAGCAAAAAAAGAAAAAAGCCAGAAGTGGCGCTATGGCTCAAGTTGTAGAGCGCTAGCCTTGAGCTGAAGAGCTGATGGACAGCGCCCAGGCCCAGAGTTCAGGCCCCATGACCGGACCCCAAAAAAAAAAATGTTAACAATTTTTCTTATCTCATAGGAAATTAATAGAAAATTGCAAGCAGTGGACTCAGGATTGATTGCTTTGCGTGATACAAACAAACATCTAGAACACAAAGACAATGAACTTAGACAAAAGAAGAAGGAACTTCTTGACAGAAAAACCAAGAAGAGGCAACTGGAACAAAAACTTAGTTCCAAGCTAGAAAGGTATCTTTCGGCCTTTTTTTCATGGTAGAGGAATCACAAAATATTGCATGGCTTGATTATTCATTAAACCCTTTAAAGATAGCATATTTCCCACAAGCACATTTTGTTATAATTTTTGAAGTATATGTGTGTAGGCGGGGGGATTATTTATTCATTACATAGTTGTACTTTTTGATACAGAGTCTCACTGTGTAGTTTTATCTAACCTCAAACTTATGACTCTCCTGTCTGCTTCCCAAGTGCCTGTCTGCATGTAATATCTAAAGTTTTGTTTTTTTTTTTTCTGTTCAAATACAGTTTGATAGAGTAAGGAACAGTGAGACTGAATTATTTTGTTTTTTTGTACATAATTTAAAAATTAGTAAGTTCCCTGTAGAGGTGATATTCATTACATTAGAAAATAAAAACTGAGTATTTAAATTATTAATTCATTTAAAAATAAATTCATATGTTAACATAAAACATTTTTCTAAATAAAGTATAGTTAGTGAGGAGAGTAACATTATTGAATGGTTTTGCAAATAACCTTTAAAGTCAATAAGTTTTTTCAATTTCCTTTTGTATTCAATCTATTCTGAGATATTTTGCTAGAAATAAAAATGAAATAAGTCAGCCTTCATTAGTTTGGAAATGCAGGAATATTTTAATGCACTTTTCAAATAATTGTGGATATACTTTAATGCCATATCAAAATTCACCAAGAGTAGGTGGTTAAATTTTAATTGCAGTATGGAATATGAAATCATATTTCAAGACAGTGAACTTTATGCTATATTTTAAATGACTCTTTACTCAAGAGTGATTTGGGGGGGGGGCGGTTGTGGGGCCTGACACTGGGCCTGGACACTGTCCCTTAGCTCTTCAGCTCAAGGCTAGCACTCTACCACTTGAGCCACAGCGCCACTTTCGGCTTTTTTCTTTCTGTTTATGTGGTGCTGAGGAATCGAACCCAGGGCCTCATGCATGCAAGGCAAGTGCTCTACCACTGAGCCACCTTCCCAGCCCTCAAGAGTGATTTTTGTTCCATAAATATATTGCTCATTTGAAACATTTTTCACCAATGTTATTTTAAATGTTGACCTATTTTATTATATAATACCAAAGGAAAGACCACAGTAATATCCCATAGTAAGTTATTAAAAATTGGGAATCTATCAAGCTCATGGTCTTAGCAAATTTCCTAAAATTTTCATTTTAATTTGAAAGCTTTACTTTTATCATTTGGCAACAAATGATAAACCAGTTATTTGAAATGATAAGTGATATTATTCTTTTTAGGAAAGGAAAATTACCAAACAAGTATGAAGTAATCAGCTTATCTTTCTTTCAAGTAAAACTGGCATTCTCTATTTATTTTAAGTATCTAGTCTAGCTCCAAAGTTAAAAATAACATGAAGTGCTTTTCCTTGTAATAACTAGTATGTTGGTATAGAACAGAAATGGTCAGTAAGTACAGTGCACATCCTTTTTCATCACACAGTGTTAGAAAATATCTAGCCAAAATTTGAGATTTTATAAAAATCTAGTTTCTTTTCGTCAAGAATATTCCTAGGCAAATCTGGCATTTTTGAGAATTTGAGTACAAGGGATGATGAACTTAATGACTACTACCTCCTTTTTGTTGTTATTACCTTGTTTCATTCTAAAACTTGCTTCTACTTTCACAACTTCAGTGCAAATGTCAACAGTGAAGAAGGCAAGGATGTCCTGTTACTATTAAGAAAATAGATTTGACCTTGCATTTCCCTTCAAGTAATTTTAGGAATCTCCAGGAAACCATTAGCCATATTTATATGTCAGTTGAGTTCAAAGTGGTGAAAGAGAGGGAGGAAATAGTCCATTTTCTTACCAGATGTGCCAGAGTAATAGGGAGATAGGAAGTAACTTTGATTCTTGCAGAATAGCTGGGTTTATCTCACTCATTCAGTTTCATTCTTCCTTGTTAAGATTGTCATCTTTGCCACAGTGGTTCCATGTGAAAAGTCTTTTTCCAAAAGAAAAAACTAGTCACCTACTGGGAAAGCCCAGTAACCAGACTCAGAACTGATTATAACTCTTAGCTTTGAATTTCTGTGATTTGTAGAAATTTGAATATGTCTGATAGGACAGTATCTACTAGAGGGAAGGAAGATGGCTCCCAAGTAAAGCTTTTCCCAGAGGCCCCCAGGATAACCTAAACTTTTTGCTCTTGTTCTTTGTTGCTCTTACAAGCTCTTACCCAGAGAAAGAAAGTAGAGATTTGCTATATAATCAAAATCTAATAATAAATGATAACTCATTGTCTTGAATTAGATATGTTTACTTTGGCCTAATACATTATGTGTTCCTAAACAATTCGTAAGTTACGAAAGTGGAAATATGCCTCAGAGTGCCATCCTTGAATCGAAAGAGCTAAAGCAAGAGCTTGAGACCTTGAGTTCAAGCTCCACTACCACAAGAATAAACAAATTCACAAATTGAATTATATTTGAAGTGTGGAAAGAAAATTTCCCCTTCATTTTCATCTTTTTAAAAAAGCATCATTTTCTATTAGCTTGTTTTTAAATTAGTAATTTAATTTTCTTGATTAATGTAACTTTGTTGCTTAAAATATATATAGTCTGTATGCCTAGATTTTTTTAAGCTGCATGTGGGTTGGTTGGTACACACCTTGCTGAGGCTGAGACAGGAGGACCTCACGTTTACGGCAAGCTTGAACTAAGACCCCGTTTCAAAACAAAAAAAAAGTCTTAAAGCCTCAATTTACCTGTACTGTGTGACTTTAGACTCACTGTCTAAAAGGAAACTTTGTTGGGTTGGTGCATGTGCCTATAATCCAAGATATTCAGAAAACAAATGAAGAAAGATGTTGGTCTGAGGCCAGCTCTTACAAAATGTAGACCCTATTTGAAAAACACTAAACAAAAAGGACTGGCAGTGTGGCCTCAGTGATAGAGTACTTAGAGCTAAGATACCTTAAGTACCCTTAAAAATAATTTTTTAAAAATAATGAACTGTCATAAAATAATGTTAATCTTTTTCAATAAAATGATTTTATATAACTATCCCTAGCCTACTATTTTATTCCTGCTATATTCATTTTGGACAGTTTCCATGGTGACCTAATTAGTGGTTTTACTAACTAGTCTCCTTTCCATTCATCCAGAGTAGGATTGCAGGATATTATCTTCTCAAGTCTTTGTCCGTCCTACCATTACTGCATGAAATTAAACACTTCTCCCATTTAGAATAACGTTCAGAATCTTCTTGTATCACTCTAGATTATTACTGAATTTCTTCATTCCTCTTTATTATTGCTTCCATGCCTCTTCCTTTCTCTGTAGAGATAATATGGTATAATGCAGAGAACATGAAATTTTCTTATCCTTAAAGTAGCTCATCTTAGGTGATACACTTAAATTTTTTGATCCTTAGGTGTCTTCATCTTTTTAAAAGAAAACATAGGATTATTAACTTATCTTTTTATTCTGTTTTACCTGTCAATCAACTCTTCCTGCTTTAAGCCCAAAGAAAGAGATTATCAGTAGTTCCTAGTTACATTGATAGTTAAATTATTATTAATAAGTTAGTTAGGGCTGGGTACTATCCTAAGTTTGTTGTGTATATTACCTTTTTAAAAGCATCTCGGGCTGGGAAGGTGGCTCAGTGGTAGAGCGCTTGCCTTGCATGCATGAGGCCCTGGGTTCCATTCCTCAGCACCACATAAGCAGAAAATAAAAAAGCCGGAAGTAGTGCTGTGGCTCAAGTGGTAGAGTGCTAGCCTTGAGCTGAAGAGCTGAGGGACAGCGCCCACGCCCCACAACCGGAGCCCCCAAAAAATAAAAAATAAAAATAAAAGTATCTCTACAGCTGTATGAGGGAAGTACTATGATAATCTGCAGCTGATTTACGAAGAAACAGAAGTTGTCCAAAGTTGCATTGCTTCTTTTGTTTGTTTGAGGCAGGGTCTCACTGTGTAGCCTACGCTGTCCTTAAATTTGGGATCTTCTTGCCTCAGCCTGGGAAATTCTGTTTAATCTCTTCATTGCTAATAAGTGTTTAAATCAGTAGTCTAGTTAAAACTTTACACTTTTGAACAGCATTGCTAAATCTTCTAGAAAACTGCAGAAGAATTAGGGCTTTGGGCTCAGTTTTTGGGTTTAACCCCTTTCTCTGTCCTTATGTGTGTCATACAGCATAAAACTGATGGAGCAGGACTCTTGTAACCTGGAAGAGGAGGAACGAAAAACAAGTACCAAAATCAAAGAGTTAAATGTTCAGAAAGCAAAACTTGTTACTGAATTAACAAACCTAGTAAAGGTAAGGTATTTTTCTTAATTTTAGATACGTTTTTTAAAGTAGCTGATAGAGCTGGGTGCTAGGCTCATGCCTATATCCTAGCTATTCAGGAGGCTGAGATTCTGAGCGTTGTGGTTTCAAATCAGCTCAAGCAGGAATGTCTGTGAAACTCTACCTCCATTTAACCACCAAAAAAAGAAAACAACAGCAACAAAAAAACCTGGAAGTAGAACTGTGGCTAAAGTAGTGCTATGCTTGATCAAAAATGTTTAGGACAGTGCCCAGACCCTGTGTTCAAGCCCCAGGATGCAAAAAAAAAGTAGCTGATAGTTGAGATAGCTTTTAGAGGCCTTTAAGAGGGAGATGGTCTTTAAGTATTTTCTCTTCTAGTTGTATATAAGAGATTTTATCATCAGTTTCAGCTTTTTTGGTTACTTGGCATTGTCTTTATAGGTAATAAATAGGTTAACTCATTAAATTATATATTATTCCAGATGACTACTAAATACACAGGAACACACTTTCTAAAAGATTCTCTTTAAAAATTGTTTTAAGATGGGGCTAGGAAGGTGGCTCAGTGGTAGAGTGCTTGCCTTGCATGCCTGAGTCCCTGGGTTCGATTCCTCAGCACTACATAAGCAAAAAGAAAAAAGCCAGAAGTGCTGCTGTGGCTCAAGTGGTAGAGTGCTAGCCTTGAGCTGAAGAGCTGAGGGACAGTGCTCAAGCCCAGAGTTCAGGCCCCACGACTGGACCCAAAAAAAAAAAAATTGTTTGGGGGGGGAGGGGGGAGGCTGGGAAGGGATGTGAAGGGTAAACAAAGGAGGAGGCTGCAATGCTTGGTAAGAAATGTACACATTATCCTGCCCATGTAATTGTAACCCCTCTGTACAGTATGTTCACAAATAAAATAAAAATAAAATAAAATTTAAAAAAATTGTTTAAGAGAAGTATTACAGTAGAAAAGCCACTTTTTGTGAATTAGAATTTTATTTTGAGAAAACTGGCTTTTTTATGGTTTTAAGCACAGATAACTTATGAACTAAGTTTTGGGGGGATTTTTCTTCCTAGATTTGTACTTCTTTGCATATGCAAAAGGTAGATTTAATCCTTCAGAATACGACAATGATTTCTGAGAAGAACAAATTAGAGTCAGATTATGTAGCTGCATCTTCAAAACTACGTGTCACAGAGGTAAGATATTTCAAAGTTCAGTGTCTGATCAGTTTGAAAAACATCATGTATTATCACTGGACATATGTATTTGTATGCTGTATAAGTTTACAAATTTAATGCATCCTGCTTATGAGGAAGCAATATTTGGAACATTTGAGTGGCTGTGTAATCTTGACAATTTACTCTTCTTTTAATATCTGCCGGTGAAATGCTAAATACTTGTACCATGTGGAAGTGAAGAAATGTGATAAATCACATTAATTTAAAGCCCAAAGAATATCTGGCCACAATATGGAATTGATAGTGATACAGTTTTTCAAGCTCCAAAATCCTCTCCCCAAAATAGTACTTAGGATACTATAGCATCAACAAACTCACAGACAATATAGACAATAGCAAAACTAAGCTTTAAGCTATATCCCTGTTGGTGTAAAATAATAATAATAATTCTGTGTTCTTTCATGAAGAAGCTGTGGTGTTCTATTGAGCAATTATGTGGTCATGGTTGATTACATCACTGTCCATGTTGCTGAACTCAATCTCCATCCCTCCTGAGTTTGGGAAACTGCTGATATCATGTCTTTCTACATCTTATCTTTCTGACATTGCCCACTGCCATCTGAGTTATATCCTAAGCATATCCTAAGCATAAACTCAGGTTTAATCCAAGGAATTCTTGTATAACAAAGATTCTTATCACTCAGTTTTAAAGTGTGTGTGTGTGTGTTGAGGGTATGTGTGTGTATTGTCTGTCTTCACTTGAACCACAGTTGTACTTCTGACTTTTGAGTAGTTAATTGTGGATAAGAGTCTCAAGATTTTCCTTCCCAGGCTGGCTTCAAACAGGAATTTTCAGTCTTCTGAATAGATAGGATTACAAGCATGAGCCACCAGCACCCATACTCAAGGGGTTTTTTAAAATAGTAATCAGTCACAAAGGCTAATCAATATCTGTGAGCTTGTGAATACAACTAGAGAAGTTAAATTAGAGGCAACATCAAAACTCATGTGATACTACTGAGAGAAAGCCCAGAAAATGGAAATAGTCCCACGGGGCATAGGAAGTCAGGTCAGCAGTTCTATCTGAAAGCAACTTATATAAGGTGACTGTCCAGACTCGGGCAAGGTCTGATAATGCTGGCATATCTCAAACCAATGGAAATTCCTCTTACTGAAGAGAACTATAGCTATATAACATTAAAAGAAGCATTAAAACATGTACTGTACAGTCCTAAGTCAAACCATGTAAACTTAAGCACAATTCTCTGAAAATGGCAGAAAGGAGGAAGTTTCAGTAAAATGAAATTATTTGCTAATTGTTATTCCACAGTTATTATCAGGAATATTAATCAATGGGGTGTTTAGGACAGAATTTTGGTACTTATAGTAAGGAGTCAATAGACATTCTCTATCCCCCCAAAAAAACTTATTTCAAACAGGGATATTATATAAGTATTTATATGAAGATAATCTTCCTAAATACCAAAATTATATACAAAGAGAAGGGAAAGTGGGCAGGGAGGCGGTAGTAAAGCAGATCACATAAAGATTAGATTTTTTTACTTAATAGAGGACAAAAATCACTGTGGCCTGAAATAGGCAGGTCAGAAGCAAAGCTGGACATGGTAGTACATACTTGTACAACTGGAAGAAAGCATAGGTAAGGAGAATCACTTGAGCTCAGGAATCTGAGATCAGCTTAGGTGAGCATTGTAAGACCCCATCTTTAAAAGAAAAAAAAAAAGCCCATATCAAAGATGAAACATATTAAATGTAAGTGGATATGCTGTGTCTATTTCAAAATCAAGGCTATGTTGAAATAAGTTCTAACAATTTGCAGAATATAAAAGGTGCATCTAAAAGAAATGAAGTTTTAAATTGAAGGATATTAGATACAGTCATCTTTTTGGTTGATGGGAAAGTAACTTTGGGCCATGGGGATGGCTACACAGCCATTGAATTATATGTTTATAATGATAGACTTATAATCTGGAAAATATGTCAGATATATCGTTAAGTGAACTAAAAAGGACAGACTCCAGGCACCCATGGTTTACCCATGTAATGGTTGTTATTCAGGAGGCTGAGATCTAAAATCTGCAGTTTGAAACCAGACTGGGCAAAAAAAGAAAAGTTAGTGATAAGTTAGAGCCTTTTTAAACATTATTTATGGTAATAGGAGAAGATAAGGTCAAACTTATTTAAACAAATCCTTTTTCCTACTTTGTATCGATGTAGCAAAATAAAACTAATTTTTCTTAAACTTAGCAAAAGCAAAATGAAACATTTGCTTCTAAGTTTGGGGGGACTTGGCGTGATTTTTATTAGGGGAAGGAGGTGTGCTGGTGCCGGAACTAGAACCCAGGGCCTGGACACTGTCCCTTAGTTCTTTCACTTTTGGTTGTCACTCTACCACTTGAGTCACAGCTTCATTTCCAGTTTTTGAATGGTTAGTTTTAGAAAAGAATCTCATAGACTTGCTCACCCAGGCTGTCTTCAAACTACTATCCTCAGATCTCAGCCTCTCATAAGCTAGTTTTACATGTGTGAGCCACCAGTATCCAATTCGCTGGCATTGTTTTAACAGTGTAGCCTCAGGGAGAAAAACAAATATTCCAAGTAACTTAAAACAGAATAATTCAGTTATAAACACAAAAGTTGTATAATGTTTTTCAGGAACCATACGGTAATAATATTTGGCAGGTTATTCTGAAGTAGGTGATAAATGTTAGTAGGATTTTCAGCATGAGAAAAACTATTTAGATATAAAGATACTCTGCAGCAGTTGAATTGTTAAACAAACGGTGGTATACATACATGTTGAAGATTACTCTCCAACAAAATAAATGAACTACTGAGCCTGTTCTACTGAGCAAAAGGAACTAAGCACCTTCTTCCAGTAAAAAAGATTATCCCCTATTTGATTTATGCAGAATGCATAGTGACAGAAGACAAGTCAGTGCTGATCATAAGGAGACTACAGGGGGATGGTTTACAGAGGGCCACAAAGGTTTTAAGGGTGTTGATGTATTTATTATTGAATGCATTGGGATGATCTCAAATATATTTGTCTGAACTCATTAAGTTAGACACTAAATATGTACAGTTTTATGGTTCATCAGTTGTGTCCCCAAAGTTAGTGAATTTTTTAAAGAAAAATTATCTGTTAGGTTCTTTTTTAATAAATTGTTATTGAAGTATTTCTTCAGTATGAAATTTTAAAACATATTCTAGAATATGTAGAATAATAGTGAATCCATGTGCTTACTACCCATTTAACAAATTAATACTTAGACATTTTGTTGTAGATTTTTAAACCTTTTGCTATATTCAAAGCCCCTTGTACCCTTCCAGATTCATTCCCCAAAAGTCTACCATAGTCTGGCAGTGGTATGTATATGATTTTCTTGACACTTGTCAGAAATGCATCTGTTACATAAAAGTTAGCTGTACTAGTATGTTCCTCCCACCCTGTGGGAGGCTTTCTTAGAAGATACATTTTAGGAAATAGATACTGAACTGTACAGATAAATTTTTTAAAACCTTCTGCTTCCTAAAATAGATTATGGCTATAGTGAAGTTGGGGGTGGGACTAGGAGAGGATAGAGAATTTTACTAGCAGATAGTAAGAGGATATAGACACAACCAACCTAGCCAAACAGCCAAAAGTTAGAGTTGATGTGCTAGAATTGATTAGTTCACTTTAGCAAAAGCTTAAGGCATAGGACAGGAAAGCATTCTTCCCCTTAAACAAAAACTAAACTAAAAGAAGGCAGCAGGAATAACAGTACTCCTCTTCAGTTTATGGGATGGATCAGTAAAAAGAAACAAAAGATTATACCCTGACAAGAGTTAGGAGGGAGACATTTAGGTCATGAACATGTAGGAAGGTCATTTGCCATTTGTCCAGTCATCTACGCACTGTTGGTCAATAATTTTAGCACACAAATTAAAGTTACTTCATTGGTAAGAATCTGAATGTTGTTATCTAGTACATGGAAGAGATTTTATGAAGATGCAGACATAGTGTGGAGATTTAAACTCAATCAAAATACAGAATTTAATCTTGGCACTTGGTTTGTGAAATCATTGCTAATGAGAACTTAAGACAGAAGTTTGTTTCTTATTTATAGAAGTATTGTGAAATCGTAGTAATTGCTTTGGAGTAAGCACTCTTGTAAAATTTAACCTAGTCTGAACATAACTACTTTTCTAAACAGCCCTATTTAAGATGGATGTACTGAGATTAGATACATATTTACAAGATGTTATTTAATGATCTGTGTGTAGTAGTGGAAATATTACTGTAGTAGTAGTGGAAATATTACTGTTTTGAGTAACACTAACTGCTATGTTTCTGGGGAGTAGGAAAGTTTCTTGTGAGGTTTTTAGTCTCTTTGTATTACTCTTTTTTTTTTTTAAGATAGCCATACTATACCAGAGACATAATCACTGATTAGCTGCTTTTGCCTATTCATTCTTATTAATTCTTACTATCTTTGTGTAAGTAAGCTAAGTGTATCACAACCATCTTAAAGATACAACTGCTATATAAACTTTGCTATCAAGAAAGCACAGTTAACCAAAGAAATTCATTATTCATGTATTATGATCATATTTTAAATCATAATTTCTTAGTTTGTTGCTTAATTTAAAGGAATTAGAGAGGTATTACTTTTCCCATCATGATTCTCTTGCTACTGTTTCTTTCCATTCCCTTTCTCCAGTTCAGCCATTACCACATTCATAATTCACCTTTTTCTCATTTCATGGCTACTGCCCAGTCTGACTTTTACTCTTAAGCTTTAATACCTACAAGCTCTTATTTTTAGTCTTCTACTACTTAGAAATCTATAGCTTATACATAAATAACAATTTCCTTCATACTAATGTTACTGCTACCTCTGATTTTATCTTGCATTCTCTCAGAATTGTTTTATACTTCTCATACTAATTTAAAAGTTCTATTTTTGTTTCTTTTTTGTTTATAATGTTTTGTCGCTATTTGTTTTTTCTTCCAGTGCTAGGGATTGAACCCAGTGCCTCCCACATGCTAAAGTAAGCATTTTCTTTAGTATGTTGAAATCTTTGTTCATGTTTACACTGGGCTAATGATTTTGCATTGATAGTTTTGTTTTCTTCTGTTTGTTTTTGAGACAATTCTCATTATATAGTCCAGGTTGGTTTCCAACATGCTATATAGCCCAGACTAGCCTCAATTTCAAGGTTCCCAGGCCTCCCGATTAGCGCTGGGGTAATAGATGTGTGCCACCATATCTGGTTTCCCTCCATTGTGATGTAGTCTTGAGAACTACAAGTCAGCCAAGGCTGAGTTGGAACCACAGTCCCCCCAATCTTAGTTTAGAATGATAGGCACACAGTACTGCACCCAGTTTTGTTTTTTTCTTAAGTATTTATTAACAATTCAATTTAACAGTTTATTAACTATTCTAAAAAAATGTATGAATTTCTTCTTTCTTCCACAAGAGGGCCTTCTTTACTTAAATGTCAAAGTGTTTCCAATGGAACTTTACTTAAAAAGCATTTCAGAGAGCCTGGTGCCAGTTGCTCACACCTGTAATTCCAACTACTTAGAAGGCTGAGACCTGAGAATTGGGGTTCAAATCCAGCCCACCCATGAGAGTCTGTAAGGCCCTTTTTTATTTTTCATTTTTGTCGGTCATGGGGCATTTGAACTAAGGGCATGGGTACTTTCCCTGAGCTTTTTCCCTCAAGGCTAGTGGTCTACTGCTTTGAACCACTGTGCCACTTCTGGTTTTTTGGTGGTTAATTGGAGATAAGAGTCTCATGGGCTTCGAAACGATCCTCAGATCTCAGCCTCTTGAGTAGCTAGGTTACAGGTATGAGCCACTGCACCTGGCTTGTAAGGCTCTTATCACCAACCAAACACCAAAAATGCAGAAGTAGAGATATGGCTCAAGTGTAGAGTGTTAGCCTCGAGCACCAAAGCTCAGGGACAGTACCCAGGCCCTGAGATGGCTCTGAGTTCAAGCTCCAGGACTGGTACCAAAGAAAAAAAAAGGAGGGAGGGAGAGAGGGATAGAAAAAGAAATTAAATATTTCTTTTCTCTAGTGGGGGGTAACAAGTCCTAGTTTTTGTTTTTGTTTTTTGTACCAGTGCTAGTTAAGGCTAGAACTCTACATTTGAGCCACTTCGAGCTTTTTGGTAGTTAATTGGAGACATGAGTCTCAGACACTTTCCTGCCTGGGCTGACTTTGAACCTTGATCTTCAGATCTCAGTCTCCTAAGTAGTTAGGATTCCAGGCATAAGCCATTGGTACCCAGCTAATACTCATTTCTTTTCATATATGAAAGCAATCCTTTCTGAGATGTTAGTGTAGGGAACATTCTGTAAATTTTAGTATTTGCTCATGCCTTAAACAGATGCAGTATTTCTATTCTATAATCACTGTTGAAGGCAAGCCTCAAAGCAGAAATGTAAAGAGAATCTTTTCATTGCCTTTATTTTATAGCATGATATAATAGTATATTCTCTTATTTCTGGCACCCCCTCATCCCACAAAGAAAAGTTCAGTAAGGATTGTGGTTTAAAGTGGATCTGCTATGTGAAGAGGTAAGTCCCAAACATGGGTATCTGGAAATAATATTTTCTTAGATTTTATAAGACATCAAACAGAAGGAAATTTTATATAAGGCTTTTAGCCTTCTAAGTCCAGAACTTCAAAAAATTGACTCTGATACTAATTTTTATCTCCTTTTATTTTCTTTTTTTGTTTTTGGCAGTAATAAAGTTTGAGCCCAGGCTTTATACAGGAACTGTAGTCTTGAGCCATGTCCCCATCTCTTTTCTTTTTTCCGCTTTTAACAGTTTTTCAGATAGGTTCTTGTTTTTACCCAGACCCAGCCTCAGTGAAAGATCCTCCTCTTTAAACCTGAAAAACTGGGATCAAAGGCACATATCACCATACTCAGCTTTTTGGTTAAGATAATGTTTTACTAATTTTTTTGCCTGGGCTAGCTTCAACTGTGATCCTCTTAATCTCCACTTCCCAAGTAATTGAAATAACAGGGTTGAATCACTGTGCCCAGCCTAACTGATGTTGAAAGGAACAGAAGCAGGAATAGAACTCATTAGAAGTGCTTAGTTTCTACCCAGCTGTCCCTTATTTTACATTTGCTTGAGTACAGTGCCCTTAAAACAGGGGACTTGAAAGTCTTTACCATTCTCCCAGGTTGTAGTGATTGAGGAATGTATTTACGGAAACCTTAGGACTAAATAACTAATGTATAAAGGGTTACTTGTATTTTTTTCAGTTCTGTCCAGTTTATGTCTTTTTACTTCTCTAATGATTGGCTTGGTTTAGTTCATTAGCTGTTAAACTTGCATGCATAAAAATCAGCGAGAGACTTTGTTAATAAATAACAAATAGACAAGTCTTATTTCCAGAGCTATTAATCTGATAGATCTAGGGTATGGCTAGGGCAGCAAACTCCTTTCACCATGGGTGTTATGTGCAGTCTAGTTTGAAATTTAATGGAAAGCGCAAGATAGCCCTGCTTTCTTTCCTAGAAACCTGCTCACCTATAGTTTTACAACCTTGAGCCAGTTTCTGAATGTCTCTTGGCTGTATCTAAAAGAAGGAGAGAGAGAACGTATTTCTCAAGATCGTTTTCAGGATTGAATTAACACTTGGGGTATAATAATGATTGGCCTGTAAAGGCATCCTGTAGGGTGAGTTTGGCCCTTATGTACTTTGTCCAGCCTAATCTTGTATACCTTTACATATTTCTCGGCTTCAATCATATTCAATTACTATTACATCTTTGAAACTTCCACTGCTTTACATTCATAATCACCAGTCTCTGGAATGCCTTCTGTTACTGCTTTTTCAGTAATTCTTCTCTTTAAAGCTGTTCAGTTGTCACAGCTTCTGTGACAATTCTGCGCTTTCTCCATCCCTTTCTCCAGTTTCGTATTCTGTCTAGACTGTTGCACTGAGCAGCACTTACTTCTCTATTATGAACATTGTGTGTCCTCTAAGCAGATGTTGCTATGAATCCTGGTGCTCTCTTATATGTGAGCTTGAACAAGTTGTCATAATTCCTTCCCATCTTTTTTTCTTTTTAGTATGTATAATAGGGATAATTTTTAGAGTAAAGCACCTACTCAAGGACATTAGCACTGAATAAATAGTACCTATTTCTTGTAAGGATAGTGATTTTTCCATGTATACATTTCTACTTCTCAGTAATTACTTGATAAAGAAATAACTGGTAACTACATAAAAGACGGGCTGGGAAGGTAGCTCAGTGGTAGAGCACTTGCCTTGCATGCATGAGGCCCTGGGTTCGATTCCTCAACACCACATAAGCAAAAAGAAAAAAGCCAGAAGTGGCTCTGTGGCTTAAGTGGTAGAACATTAACCTTGAGCTGAAGAGCTGAGGGACAGCGCCCAGGCCCAGAGTTCAGGACCCATGACCGGACCATAAATAAATAAATGGCAAAAACTGTCAGACACATTTAAAGGTTTATGTTTGTTGACTTTTCTCAATTGAACCTTACATAAAGTGAATTTCAAAGTTCATTAGAGTATATTTACATGTAGTCATTAAACTTTCAGAAAAACAGTTACATTTTAGAGTTCTTATATATTAGAGAAATGGCCAGTTATTAATATGCTGATATATTTGAAAGTTTAATTTGAAACTTAATCCTTATGATTAAAGGCAGTTTTAAGATATGGCTCAAGTGATACAATTGCCATCAGAATAAAAATTCAGAAATTTATTTCATATATGCTAATTTAATAAAACCGGCCTCTTAGTTAACTGTAACATTCAAATTTTTAGAGTATTTGTTTTTTCTCTAATAGCAACAGTTTGTTGAGTTGGACGAAAACAGACTAAGATTATTACAGAAATGCAAAGAACTTATGAAGCGAGCGAGGCAAGTATGTAACCTGCGCGCAGAGCAGATTGTTCCTCAAGAATATCAGACAGTAAGTATAAAAAGTATACAGTGCTACCATTGCCATAAAACATTGTTTTGAGCTTAAAATATCCTTGGCCGTTGTATGCGTCATTAAAAAATAGAGTCTCCTATTTTTAGCTGAATATATGTATAAAATAATTTGGCTTACCAGATCTTCTATACTCAAATCTGTTACCAGTTTTACTGGTAATAGTAAGTAAATCTTAAAACATAGGAATCAACTTTAGAATCACACCCCCCCCCCCCAAAGACCACTTTTTTAAAAGGAAGAGGTATTATTGAGAGTTTATTGTGGAAACCTGAGGTATATTTTTCAAGGACACCAGTAATTGGTATGGAAGAAACAGTAAATAGGAGTGATATTTAGAAAAAGCAAAAGCAAAATGAAAGTGTTTTCCCAGAAATTGGTGTGTTTATGATTAAATATTTAGGGTTACCACATATCAGTAAGGAAAGGAAGAAAGAGCCTTCCCTTGTTTTTCATTATATTTTATAGGTTGACATATTAGGAAGTAAACCTAGGAGATGCTATCCTTCAGTCCACATTCTACCATTAATTATGTACCCCTAGGTTTATCTGACAAGTGGGCGGGATAACTTTCCTATATACTTATGCACTGTCATGTCAACATAAAGTTAGAGAAAATGACTTTTAAAATAGTATCTTTTTTTATTCTTAATTTGAAGTTCGTCTAATAAATGATGAAATGTCTACTAAAAATATAAGCTGAATTGGAAAAGAGAATAACTTGCATAACAATAATCAGATCTTCAAAGGTTTTATTTTATGATATCAGAAATCTTAGAGGATGGGTTTCAGTGGGTAGATAGTAAGAAATTCAATAGAAATTAGTAAAACTTATTGAACAGTTTGTTTCCATAGGTATTACATCTCTAAAATAATTGTATTTTTCTAAAATAAACATTAGTAGGGACTGGGAAGGTGGCTCAGTGGTAGAGCGCTTGCCTTGCATGCATGAGGCCCTGGGTTCGATTCCTCAGCACCACATAAGCAAAAAGAAATAAGCCGGAAGTGGTGCTGTGGCTCAAGGGGGTAGAGGGCTAGCCTTGAGCTGAAGAGTTGAGGGACAGCGCCCAGGCTCAGAGTTCAGGCCCCACGACCGGACCCAAATAAATAAATTAATTAAATTAAACATTAGTACAATATCTATACTGATTTTTTTGTTTTAAAGATAACTTCATTTGTTTTTGTTGTGTTATGCTGTTTTTATAAGAGACAAAATCAAAGATAATATATATTCATTAATTTAGAGCTAAAGTAGTGGAGCATTTGCTTAGCAATTTCAGAACCCTAAGTTCAAACCTCAGTACTGGGGGGGTGGGGACAAGTGAGAGAGAGAGACAAAGTTATAGATTAACTGCTATAAAACAAGCACTGAATAAGACAGCCATACTTCCTTCTCAATTGAAACTTGTATTCTAGTATGGATGATAGAGCAGACAAAAACTAAAAAGCAAGCAGATGTTAAGAAGGAAAATAAAGCAAGCTGCTGGGTGCTGGTGGTTCAAGCCAGTAATTATAGCTACTCAAGAGGCTGAGATCTGAGGATCATGGTTTAAAGCCAGCCCAGTCAGGAAAGTCCATGAGATTCTTCTCTCCAATTAACCACCAGAAAACCAGAAGTGGAGCTGTAAAAGATGGCAGTTTTGAAAGATACTATTTTAGGTAAATCCTGAATAAATAGATCAAGTGAAGTTGAGGGAAAAGTATTCCAGTCAGAGAAAATAGTTTACACAAAGCCCCCGAGTTGGAAGCATATTTGTTATAGGTCAGAATAGAAGGGATCTCCGTGGGGTAAAAAACTAGGCCAAGCAGAAGGTAAAAGCCAAGCTAGGTATCTTAGAGTATACCAGAAGTTTGGGTTGTAGGTTTTTAGGTTGTTTGGTTTGTTTGTTTTGCTTTGCTTTGTTTTGTTTTGTTTCAATGTTGGGAATCAGTCCCAGGGCTCACACAAGCTATATAAGTGCGTTACACTGAGCTATATCCCTAGTTCTGGGTTATATTCTTTTTGAGATGGAATCCATTGGGAGAAGTTTAAAACACAAGAGTGATAGTACTAAGTTAAGTTGATAAGAGTGGAAGCAAAAAGATGATTTAGAGGGTTACTACTTTGGTCCAGGCCCTCCCCACAAAGAATTACCATGGCGTGGAATTGGTAATCCCACTGCGGGAAAGTGGGGAAAGGTGGGTGGTCCAGCAGCAGGTACTGACAGCAGGTTATCTAAGAATTTAGAGAGAACTCCTAACTCACCTCAACCAATAGTGATATTATTTACTGAGGTGGAGAAGATTGAAGGAGAAATAGGTTGGCATTAGGTGGTGTAGAGAAAATGGGTAAAAAAGATTGCTTCACTATCTCAAATTTAAGATTTCTTTTAAAATCAAGTTAATACATCTGGTTTGAGCTTTATCAAATGTAAGTTCAGATTTCAGTGGGACTAGTCTTCTGCATATGTACTATCTAAATGAAAGTTGGATTATATTCTAGGTCAACATTTAAGACATTAGGTTAATATTATGTGTCAGTGTTTTTAATTTTCACAATACATTTCTGCTTGTTAGTATTTAGAGTTTGAATATTGTATTAGGCAAGACACTGTATCGTCTTTTCCTCCATAGGAAAGTGTTCTTACTTATCTCGGTAGCATAGATTCGAAAGATAGTCGTATGATGAAAGTCTGCTGTCAAAGTAATTGGATTCTTAACGTGCTTTTGTGGTTCATGAGAAGTGTAGTGTAAAGTTCTAACTTCTTGCTCTCTTTCAATGCCCCACATACTCTGGACCCATTCTACCAATTCAGCAAGTGCCCACCATTCCAAATGGACACAACTCCTCACTCCCCATGGTATGCGCTGCTCATTCTTTTCTCCAAGCTTCTGTCCCCTCTCCTGCATTTCCTTAACCATTTGCTTTAAGGCCAAGAGATGAATCCTAGGCCTCGGAAATCTTCTCGATTCTCCTGTAGCATGAACTGACACTTTCTTTCTCTAAATTCCTTAGCCTATATGATATCTACTGCTTATTGTAATACCCAACATCAATACCTTGCCTTAAAATATTAGTCCTCTTAAGATATTACCCAGTGATTACATTCTCTTTTCAAGTGTAAGCTTTTTTGAAGGCACAGACCCTGTTTTATGATTCTCTTGTACTCTTGTTGTGTGTGTGAATATGCTATTGATGAGACAGTGGACTGACTCAGCAGTTTTTTTTTAATTAATTGAATATATTTTCATTATATTACCTCTAATGATACTTTATTTTTTCCTTAGGCCTTCCAAGATCTTCCAAACACATTGGATGAAATTGATGCTCTATTAACAGAAGAAAGATCAAGAGCCTCCTGCTTCACAGGACTAAATCCTACAGTATGTGTCTTAAGTATCTTCCTCTATTGCCATTCTGCAGCTACTACCACTGCCATCTTACACACACACACACACACACACACACACACACACACACACACACACACACACAGAGTTTCATGCAGTACTTGCCTCCCACTCTGTACTAGAGCTCTTGGTAATAATAAGCTAGACAGCAGGAACAATGTGCTTTAAATGCCAGATTCTGAATCTATTAGAATTTTAAATAGATTCTTCCTAAGGAACACAGTGTTCTGTGCCTTTTCTTTATAAAAAGAATAGTTGGGTTAACTTAAAATGCATCAATGTCTATTTCTTCAGGGATTAGAAATGACAGTTTTAGAAGGTAATAAGAACAAATTAATTGCAGACAAACAACATAACATAGTTGACATGACATTTTTAGTTAATGAAAAATTGTATATGTTTGTCCTTTGATAGATTGATCTTAAAGAAATTTTCTTCCTGCCAGGTAGTTGAAGAATATGCAAAAAGAGAAAAAGAAATAGAGCAGTTAACTGAGGAACTAAAGAAAAAAAGAGCTGAACTAGATACATATAGGGAAAGCATTTCACAGGTAATGTTAATTTTTTATCTTTTCTTTTTATCCTATGCTTATCGTTAATAATAGGAGCATGTGGAAATGAAGTGTTCCTAAAAGAAAAAGTGGGTTCTTATGACCAGTTTGTTACTGATAGAAAAGTTATTTTATCTAATGTTAGATATTAAAATGTAATAATACTTCTTCGGCTGGGAATGGACCTTAGTGGTAGAGTGCTTGCCTAGCATGCATGCAGCCCTAGGTTCGATTCCTTAGTACCACATAAACAGAAAAAGCCACAAGTGGCTCTGTGGCTTAAGTGATAGAGGGCTAGCCTTGAGCACAGAGATGCTCAGGGAAAGATCCCAGGCCCTGAGTTCAAGCCCTAGGACTGGCAAAAATAAAATAATACTTCAGAAGTTGCATTTAATATTTTGTTTACTTACAGGTAAAAGAAAGATGGCTTAATCCCTTAAAGGAGCTAGTAGAAAAAATTAATGAAAAATTCAGCAACTTTTTTAGTTCCATGCAGTGTGCTGGTGAAGTTGATCTCCATACAGAAAATGAGGTAAAATTGGAATTTATTTCATTAAGAGTTAAGAATTTAAGCTAGGCATTGATGTCTCATGTCCGTAATCATTTCTGGTTTGGAAGCTGAGATGCAGAGGATCAAGGTTCAGAACCATTCCAAGCAGAAAAGTTTTCTACTAGACTCTATTTCCAAAAATAATTATCAAAAGGCTTGACTAGAGGTGTGGCTCAAGTGATACAGTGCTAGCTGAGCAAGTAAACTGAGCAAACTCAAAGCTGAGTTCAAAATCCAAGTCTCACTCAAAAAAATAAAAGACTGAATTACTTGTTCAGGTGTGGCACATGCCTGTAATCTCAGTAACAGGGGGCAAGAGGATTATAAGTTTGAGGTGAACCCTATCTCAAAAGTAAAAGGACCGGAACAAGTGGCAGAGTGCAAATGTGGTGGTCTGAATTGAATGCTTAGTACCGAAAAGAAAATAATAATGCGTAAAGAAGTTTAGCTCAGTAGTAGAATGTGTGTTTAGCATGCATGAGGACCTGGGAGATTATAAAGAGTATTTTATATTATGTTACAAACATAAATGTAAAGCAAAGTGACAGTTTTTACTCTCCTGAGGTTATCTTGCCTGATAACCCCTTCATCTAGCTAGTATGGAGTATAAGTATGAAATGCCAATTCATTTTTAAGTTCTAGGTCTAAGATATTAGGTCCTACCACAGTAGTTGTTTTTCAGTGTTTGGGCTTGTTCAGGTTATTTTAGTAACAATATTTAATTACTAACATGCTTCCTTTGTGCCATAGCTGTCCTATAACACAGGTACTTTTATCCAATTTCATAAGCAAATTGAAACTGAAGCTAACAGAAGTTCATATAAGTTTCACATGACAAAGAATCAAACTCCACACCCGACCCCAGAGCCTAAGCTCACCAGTAAATTTGATTCCTGAGACCACATCAGACTGAAAGTAACTGCAATATCTTTAGTAGCAGCTTGAACCTAGAGACATAAATATGATTGAGCAAGCACAGTGAAGTCTACTGAACTTGAACTGAAATCCTATCTTTGCCTGGCTCACACCTGTACTCCTGACAACTCAGGAGGCTAAAATCTGAGGATCACAATTGAAACCATGCAGCGCAGGAAAGTCTGAGTCTTTCCAATTAACCACCAAAATGCTGGAAGTAGAACTGTAGCTCACATGGTACAGCATTAGTCTTGAGCACAAAAGCTCAGGAACAGCACCCAGTCCCTGAATTTAAGCCCTGGGATCAGCACCAAAGAAAAAGAAGAGGAGGGGAATAGGAAGGAGGAGGAAGAATTCCAGCATTTAAGTCTTCATGCATGTTTTTGTTGAGTTTCTTTGCATGTGCTATTTGTTTTTGATAGTTTTTCTGTGTGCAGTAATACTGCACTGCTTATACCTCCCAACCTTGTCCCTGAATTTCTTCTACCATTAGGCTTCCGAAGAATGGACATTTTTACCATTATCAGTACCTTCGCTCCCTTTCTCTTCTGGGCTCCAGAGCCTTCCATGTTAGAAGTATCTATGATAGAAAGGAAAAAGCAATGGGTTGTAGAGCCCAAAACAAAACTAGTGGTGAAGGCAGATATAGCCAAGAAGTAAATGGAAGAAATGCAGTCAGTTAAAAAGTAAACCTTGAGAATTAAAACTATTACTAATTTATTTGTTTTGGTGTGTGTGGGGAAAGGAGCAAACAGTAACAGTGGTATTTATAAGATAGCCTACCAGAATCCTTACATTTACAGGTAGAAGGAATTATTTCTGTTAATCTTTGGCCTCTTCTGCCCAGTTCAGTCACTACTATCCACAAACAAAAATGTTTATGTTGAGCATATAAAAGGTGCTCTTAAGACTATAATACATATCACATTTCACAGCTCTGATATGAAAAAAGAATACACAATATTGCAACAATATTTACATTGTGGGGCTGGGAAGCTCAGTGGTAGAGCGCTTGCCTTGCATGCATGAGGCCCTGGGTTTGATTCCTCAGCACCATATAAGCAAAAAAAGAAAAAAGCTAGAAGTGGCGCTGTGGCTCAAGTGGTAGAGCGCTAGCCTTGAGCTGAAGAGCTGAGGGACGGCGCCCAGGCCCAGAGTTCAGGCCCCACGACCGGACCCAAAAAAAAAAAAATATTTGCATTGTGATTTATGTCAAGTGATACCTTGAATGTATACTACATTAAATAAAATACAATATTAAAAGTAAGTACACCTGTTCTTAAAAATGAATGAATTTTTTTAAAGATTTTAAGAACTGATTTTAGTTGCTTATGTTCCTTGCATTCTATCTCTTGGTTAGGCACTGTCTTAGACCTTAAAACTATTAAAAACTATTAAATACCTAGTGGTATTGGGATTTTAGCTGAAGTCCTTTTGTTTTCTAAGTAGGATCTCTACCATTTGAGCCATTACACCATATCCTAGTTATTTTAACTAGTGTTTCGTATCTCATTTTAAAAGTAAATCAGAACCTAAGAGACCTAGAAATGACAAATAACATGAATTAAATTAAAAACAATAAATTTAAGCAGACTGTTTATGCAGAATGTATCGAACACTGAGCATATTCATTGCAAAAAAAAAAATTTTTTTTTTTTGGTCTGGTCTTTCCTGCCTAGGCTGGCTTCTAACTGTCATCCTTAGATCTCAGCCTCCTGAGTAACTAGGATTACAGGAGAAAGCCACCAGTGGCCAGCAGAAGTAGGGAGAACTTTTATCCCTCTGTAGTGTCTTCACTAGTAGAAAAGTGTCATGACACACTCCATATTATGTTTTAAATATCTTCACCTGTAGTGCCCTGGGCAAAATTATTAAGATTCTTATCTCTGAAAAAAATACAAACTAACTGACTTGGGGTTTGGCTTAAGTAGTAGAATGCTTGCCTAGCAAGAGTATAGCCCTAAATTCAATCCTACCAAAAAAAAACAAAAAGCCAAAACAAAAATTGAATACATGGTACCTTTCCAGAACAGGAAAAACTACTTATAATCTGAAATTTTTTCTTGTCTAACTAGATCCTTGGAGGCTCTTGGAATCTTTAAATGGCAATTGTTTGCTTAATACTTTATTTGATTTCTTTATTCTTGTGGCTGATTAAATCAGTCTGTTTTCAAATAGCCAAATGAAATTACCAGTAAAAAATTTTATCTTTATCTTCTTAAATGTTTTATAGGAAGACTATGATAAATATGGAATTCGAATCAGAGTCAAATTTCGAAGTAGTACTCAACTGCACGAATTGACTCCTCATCATCAAAGTGGAGGCGAAAGAAGTGTTTCCACCATGTTATACTTGATGGCACTTCAGGAGCTTAATAGGTGTCCATTCAGAGTAGTTGATGAAATCAATCAGGTACAGTGACTATTCTTTCTGTAGATCTTACTGTATCTTGTAATAGACATAAATATAATCATTTCTATTGTCGTGGTTTAGGGTATGGACCCAATCAATGAACGGAGAGTGTTTGAAATGGTTGTAAACACGGCCTGTAAAGAAAACACATCTCAGTACTTCTTTATTACACCAAAGGTAGGTAATAAGTAACCTCAAAGTGTTTGTAATATACTCTGAAAATCCCCTGTGGCTTAATGCAGGGCAGATGCTTTCTCAATGTGTACACACTCCTAAACAAGAAGTTAAAATGAGGGCTGGGAAGGTGGCGCAGTGGTAGAGCGCTTGCCTTGCATGCCTGAGGCCCTGGGTTCGATTCCTCAGCACCACATAAGCAAAAAGAAAAAAGCCGGAAGTGGTGCTGTGGCTCAAGTGGTAGAGCACCAGCCTTGAGCTGAAGAGCTGAGGGACAGAGCCCAGGCCCAGAGTTCAGGCCCCACAACTGGACTCCCCTCCCAGAAAAAAAAAAGAAGTTAAAATGATTATAAATATAGAAACATTTATATAAGGATAAATTCTAGTGACATAGTTCATCAGAAACCTCATTATCCAAGAAAGAAAAGTAGAAGGCATATTACATTATAGGGCCAAGATTTCCTCCCTGCTTTTAGCACTTGTTCCTCTTCTAAACAAGTCCCTTTTGTGGCACTGCATGTGACTGAAGAATGCAAGTCCTAGAGCTGTAGCCCTCTCCCTTTTACCAGTCCTGTCCCGTCCCTGTCCTGCACAGATTGCCAGCCACTTTACTCTTCTCTGACCCAGAGGAAATCATAAGTATCCCACACCACCTACTAACACAAGAATAAAATATCCCAGCACCACCTGCTCATATGAATAAAAAAGATTTCCAGGCATGTCCACTATTCTAGGAGTTATTAGGCCAGGCTTTAGCTGTACTGATTCAGGTCATGATTACAGATGCTCCCAAGCTTCATAAGAGTTTCATTAATAAAATACTTGTACACATGTGAAGTTGGAAAACTGATTTTCAGTATATAGTATTATATGACAATCTGTCTGCTTCCATGCTAACAGCTCCTGCAGAATCTTCCTTACTCTGAAAAAATGACAGTGTTGTTTGTCTACAATGGTCCTCATATGCTGGAACCAAACAGGTGGAATTTAAAGGCCTTCCAAAGGCGGAGACGCCGTATCACATTCACTCAGCCTTCTCAATGAAAGTGGAGAAAGGAACCTTTGGAATTTTTCTTTTAACTGTCTGTGTGGCTCAATTGAATAAAAGTTAGCAGATTTATTAAAACAGAAAGATTGGTTATTTTTGGAAGCCTGCTTTTAACTACAAATAGATTGATGAAGTGGAGATCACAATGACTCGCTTTCTGGAACATTATCTAGTAGTAAAAAGATAAGTCTTCAGTTTTGGTTGAATGAATCATTAGTGCTCTGAGTCATTTGGTTCCCATGTTTAAAGGTATTTACTACTGTAAATTAAAGATAGGATGGAACAGGGATTATCAAATCACAGGGTGTTTGTTTGACAAAGTAGCCCTGAACTTTAATTGCAAATAAATTCAATTACATTTAGAGCATAAAGATGCCTCCAGAACTTAAATACTGATTTTTCTCCCAGTGTTATATTTAATTTCAAGAAATATATGTGGCAACATCTGATGTAAGGGTAGGAATTTATCCTATTCACTTCCTACTTAAAAAATTTATCTTTATAGGAAGTAGATTTGTATGGGCCTTTAAGAGAAGTTTTATGTAATTTGATGTTATAATTTGATGGTAATTCATAGGGGAAAAAAGCACTAAGCTTCAAAAATGGTGCAGGACTTTGAAAGGCTATTAGATCAATGCAGAATCGCAGCTATAAGATTGACAGTCAAATCAGGTGATAGGCTTTTAAAAAATAACTTTGTAAAGTGTGTGTCCGAGGTAGGGGGGGAGGGAGTCTTAGTTTGTTTTGTTTAATTTCAAGTCAATTGTATTTTACATTTCAAATTTCTAAAAGCATTTTTATAATTATTTTTAGAGATTTTTCTTAAGATTTCATATACTGGTTTTTACTATTTGTATTTGAAATTTCTCAGTGCTATGAAAAGAGTGAGGGAAAAGAATTGATTTGTTTAAAACCATTATGTTTTTTAGTTTAAATTTGTAGGTCCTTCCTTACAGTGTTGATCTACCCATTATCTTAAAAATCTAGTTTGTTTTCTTCAATCTTGAAAGAAAATCATTTATCTCAAGTTATGCTAAATAATAGTGCCAAATTCTCTACATTTAAAAATCAGACTTCGTAAGAAATAGATTAGTACAAGACATGCCGTTAAGTAATGGATCAGATTGGATCTGTACTGATAATGACAAAAAATTAGTTTTTCTTTTCATTTACTTGCTAGCCTAAATAAATTGAAAAATTGAATTTACTTCAAGTTTTGTATATTATTAAATAGCCATCAAAATTTATATTCTTACAAAAAGCAATCAACTATGTGTGAGTTTATGTCCTCTTGCTTAAACATCTCTTTTAAAGGTATTTTGCCTTACAAAAAATTTTAAGAGCCCTTCCTTCTTAAACTAAATCTAATGCATGAAATATGAAAATATTTTAAAATAGCATTTTTACCAGTCTGAGCAAGTCATCTAAACATTGAAATACTTGGTGACATAGTGAATGGATGCTACCAAGCCCTCTGTTGCTACTTATTTTCAGCTGTAATGTCTTTACTGTTAGGTGCTTGGTATAGCGTGTTCATTGTCTGAATTGCTACCAGTCATCTTTTTTTTTTTCCAAAATGAACATCAGTGTGAAAAGGAAAATTGAAGAGTACGCATATTTGAAAATGAAATGCCCAATTATATTTTAATTTACATATGCCAATACTTATTCCATACCTTGTTTTGTAAACATTTATAGTTCTCTATTAGACAAAATTAATATTTCATTTTACATTAATTTGAGGTAGTAAAGGATAAATTGTATATCATTTTAGATATTAAAGAATAGTACGTCAAGCACAGTATAATGTCATATATTTTCTGCAAATTTGAATTTTTAATTACATTAAAATTTTTAGAGTTGAAGTAAAAGACTGATTTGATGAATAAAATATTTAAAACTTTAAGCATTTTGATTACTGACTCTTCAGTGATTTGCCTAAAGAGAGTCTCTGTTAAAAGGTTTACCATGTTCAAAATAAGAAGAAAAATTTCTTGCTGCTTTTTGATTATCTTGGACATACACATGCCTGCTTTTTTTTGAAGTGTGTACCTTTTTAGTATGTAAAAAAATGTAATTTCATCCTGCTATTATGTGTGTACATGTGTGTAACTGATTAAAAACTGTTCAAAATGCAACTTTGTTGGTAATAAATACATATTTTCATATTCTTTGAGTATGTTTTTTTAATTATACTTTAAACCCTCTTAAAAGTCACTGTTTTCAGATTTGCTTAAAACCAAATGTCTAGGGTGACCAGCATTTATTGTACAGCTTTAAGCAGTCTGTTAATGTTCACAAACATAAAAATGTAGTTCTTTGGGCTGGGAAGGTGGCTCACTGGTAGAGTGCTTGCCTTGCATGCCTGAGGCCCTGGGTTCGATTCCTCAGCACCACATAAGCAAAAAGAAAAAAACCGGAAGTGGCGCTGTGGCTCAAGCAGTAGAGCGCTCTCCTTGAGCTGAAGAGCTGAGGGACAGCGCCCAGGCCCAGAGTTCAAGCCCCATGACCGACAAAAAAAAATGGTTTATATGCTGCACTATATGCATATTCACATATTGTGTACAGTAGCCTTGTACTGTTGATGGAGAAACAGGAAAAAGGTCTTTTTTTTTTTAGCTTGCCATCAAGCTACCTTGTCTTAAGCTCTTTATGACATAATGACCCCCATCCCTACCTTCAAAATAGTGCAGGTAGAGAAAAGAAGCCAGGATCCCATGGATAGTACAACCTTGTTCATACAAGAAATGACTTGTCTCTTGTGACATACTTTACACCAGCCTGGAAAGTCACAATGAGGCTTCATCAATTGGAGGCAAGATAGCATCATGTGGAAGGGCTCATTGGAATCCTGGAGCCCAAAGCTCAAAAATCCTTGGAGGAGGTGCTAGCCTGCCCCTGTAGGATTGCTTGACACAGCATCAGGCTGTGAACGGAGGAGCAAGGGAAAAAAAGGAAAGAATCACAGAGTCCTGCAATCATAGCAAGGTCTCTACAAAGTTGTCCAGATGGCTCTGGAACATTCACATTAGCAGTATTTAGTAGAAGAGAAATAAGTGCCTTTGCTATGACACTTGATTATTCTCTTATAGTAATGCAGCCTTTATGCAAATTGCTTCCATGTATTGGGTATTACAACTCTTTTTTAAAATGTGTATAGCTCTGACAAGCAAAAAGAATGAGAATGAACAGAAAGAAGGAAAAACCAAAATAATCAAATGAGAATAGTAACTCCATAACCATGAGTTCTCCCTCAGAATTTAACCAATGGACAGAATATTTAAGAGACAAAAGTAAAAGCAACCTTGACATGATTAAGTATGGACAGGATGTATACAGGCTATAAGCAAATACTCCACCATTCTATATAAAGGAACATCCACCGATACTCAAGGGACAGAGACTAAGGGACAGCTATTTTATCTTTTTGACAATTTGAATTTTTTGTTATACTAGTTGAGCCTATATTTGTGTTTCTTGGTCATTTAAATTTCTTTGAATGGCCTGCTTATATATTGTGCTCATTATTTTCTAGGAGGGGCTTTGTCATCTTGATTTTTAGTGAATATATATGATGTCACCTAAGCATGACACTAAAGAAGCCAGGGAAGGAGGTGTGTGTGTGTGTGTGGTATATATCACTATCCATGTAATAGAAGTTTTAACTATTTCTCATAATATCATTGCTGAGATGGTAGTTCTGAGATTTGAACTTAGGGCTTCAGGTTTGCTAGACACACTGAAGCCACATCCCTAGGCCTTATTACTTCAGTTTCATTTTGTAACTAAAGTACCCAGCCAGACTGGACTTCAATCCTCCTATTTACCCAGCCTGCATAGCTGAGATGACGTGAGTACTACTGCACTAAGCGTTTTATTGATGGTGATGGGGTCCCATGAACATTGATCTGCTCAATCTCAGCCTCCCTAACAGGATTACAAGTGTGAACCAGACATAGGTCTAGTCTTCACCTATCTTTTGGCTTTCTTTATGTGATTTTTTTGTTGGTGTATTTGTGTGTGTGTGTGCGTGTGCTGGTCCTGGAGTTTGAACTCAGACCATGCATGCTGTCCTGAGCTTCTTTTTGTCAAGGCTAGTACACTGCCACTTGAACCACAATTCTGCTTCTGGCTTTTTTGGTACTTAGTTGGAGGTAAGAGTCTTACAGACTTACATTGCTGGGCTGGCTTTGAACCAAAATTCTCAGATCTCAGCCGCCTGAGTAGCTAAGATTACAGTCATGAGCCACTGCCACCCAGCTGGGTTTTTGTTTTTGTTTTTTAAATTGTTATCATTATATGCTTTCATCTAATGTATGTCATTTTCAGAAAAGCTTTTCCCACTTTCAGGTAATATGAATAATTCACTCATGTGTCCTTAAGTGAGTTTAGTTTGTTTTTACATTTAAGTATTTGTCTAGAATTGATTTTGATGTAAGAATGAAGTAGGACTTGAGCTTTTTCAATCCACTCCACCCTGCCAGCCCTCCACACTGCTCCTCTGAAGAGCTAGATTAGTACCTGTCATATGTTCAGTATCTTTCCTCCACTGGTTTGAAAGTCCATCTCTATGGGTGATTTTGGTCTATCAGCCTATTATTTTAATTACTATTGTTTCATAGTACATATTTTGACCATATAGAAGTAGTTAATCTTGCTCCTTTCTCAGAATTCTCATTATTTACTTTTTTCAGATTCCTTTTTCCAGGTGAACATTAAAATCATTTTACTATTTCAAACATAAGCCTATCGAGATTCTGTTTGGAATTATTAATTTATGTCTCAAAGAAATGTTACTTACATAGTACTGGCTCCTCTCAATATGTATCTCCAGTTAGTCACGTTGCCTATAACCCTTAAATTCTTGTCAAGAACGTTTCTATGTATGTATATCACTTTGGGTGTTATTGTTACTGCTGTAAAAGACAAAATGCCAAGATTATTTTCTAGCTCTTTTTGTTAGGAATTTTTTAATAATGTACATTAGTTGTATATTAAAACTGTCATTGATGTACGTAGATGCTGGGACTGAGGCCTGAACTCAGAACCTGGGCACTGTCCCTGAGCTTTTTGTTGCTCAAGGCTGCTACTCTACCACGTAAGCCACACACCTCTACTTCTGGCTTTTAGGTGGTTAGCTAGACTGTCCTACTTGGCTGGCTTCTAACCATGGGTATCTAGGAATACAGACATGAGAAACCAGTGCCCACCCAGCCTCAAAATCAACAGAAACATTTTTCTCTCTCTCAAATTAATGCTCAGTGGCTTTTATTATTATCATTATTTACTGACTTAGTCATGTGAACCCTGGAGATACTTTGAAAACAAACAAAAACCTAGGGGCCTTGCTTAGCATGCATGACACCCTGGCTGGCCCCCGTAGCACAGTGAAACAAAAAAGCTAATGCATAGGCATTCACGTCCACTTACACATTTACGAAATGCTACAGCCAGCATCATACTTGAGAGTGAAAAGTTGAGTAATTTTTCCCCTTACAGAAATAAAGATACATCACTGAAGAGATCTGAGAGTACAATTAAAGCAAGAGAAGAGGGAGGAAGCATCCATATGGGAAAAG